GCCTTAAAGACTGTGTAGTCCTACACCTTTATTTTAAAGATGAGAAAGTAGCGGCCCAGAGTGGCTAGTGGCAAGGCAGTGAATAACCCCGCAGGAACTGGAAACCTGTTCCTCTACTTCTAAATTCAGTGTTCATCTCATCCTGCCATGATAGCTCACCTTTTCCTGAGAGCCCATTTTGATAGGAAGAAGGGGGGGAAGTCAAGGTCACTGCGCATCAGAAGTGGATATCACCAGTGGGAAAAGAAAGGGGCAAAGGCCAGGACGTTGGAAGTGATGGAGCCCACTGTATTTATGCCCTCCACCAGTCCTGAGCAAAGGATGGGGTCCGTTTCACATCAATCAGTCAATCAACAAGAATTTATTAAGCACTTATCAAACACTGCGCTAGGCTTCTAGAGACACAGAGACAGAGGAGAGCCTCTTCCTGCCTCAAGGGGCTTACACTCTCCAGTATGAGTGGATTACTCTTTGCATATTCACACTGATGCTCAATGACCCCAGTCTACTGGACAGATTCCAGGCTGTGACAGCAGGTAAGACTCACAACCCAGGAAAGACTTGGGATTGAATGAGAAATTTGAGCAGCAAAATCCCTTGTGTGAAATTAATTAGCATTTTTGGGAGGCTTGCTCTGTACTACATAGTATTTAAATTGTCATGTACATGTGGTCAGAATTCTTCCACATTGTAGAGGTCTTTCACTGCTTATAAACGCTCTGATAGATTCATAGTGGGGTCATGGTTTTGGCAGTGCAAGAAACTCTCAGTGTGGAAAGTCCCTCCCCTGATGCAGATAGCAACTCATCGAGGTTTTTCCAGACCAAGCACCTCCTCTTTTTTTTTTTTGAGGCAATTGGGGTTAAGTGACTTGCCCAGAGTCACACAGCTAAGAAATATTATGTGTCTGAGGCCATATTTGAACTCAGGTGCTCCTGACTCCAGGGCTGGTGCTCTATCCACTCCAAGCACCTTCTTTTAAGCAGGGGATATTATATGAATCCCAGCAGCATGCTATTAAATTTCCCAATCAAAAAATGGAAAAAGTACTTTATAGACACTAACATAGCCTACAATCTCCAGCTAATGGGAAATCTAGGTACCAGTCTCTCAAAGGATCAAGATGCAGTCACAGATCTGGGCAAATTGATAGGATAATGGTTCAATCAGTAAGCATTTAAGTGCCTACCATGTGGGCGGTGTTAGTGATCTAAGGAAAAGTGCAAAAACGGACCCAACTCTCAAGGATCTTACTTTCTAAAAAGACAGAGCACATATGCATAGTTATATACAAAGTAGATATGAGATGTTGGTGGGGGTGGGAGGACAGGGAGAAGTCTGTGCATAAACTCTCTGCTTCTCTCACCCAAAGTGGGCAACATACCCAACGGCATATTCCTGAACCTTTGTAGTGGCCAAGGATACCCATGGTTGTATCTCCCTCTGGCATGAGATTTCTGACCTTGTTCCTCCTCCACCCTTTGGCCGCCTCCTCCTTTCTCTTCTTCAAACCATTCTAAAGGCAGCTGCCAATCAAATCTATCTCCCATTACTTCAACAATGTTCCCTTCAATCCTTCTGGTCACACAGGTTTAAGCCTCTTAGACTGAATGAACTTCCTAACTATCCTCCTCAGACTTTTCCAGAGCCCTTAGTATTTCTTTTCTTTCCCTCAATCACTTCCTTTCTTATATTAATTATTGGTGGATATGCTGTGTCTCAAAGGATGGTGAACTGGAAGGATCCTTAGAGACCTTTCGGTGAGACTCTCTCATTTCACGGAAGAGAACACTAAAGCCCAGAGAGATGATGCAGGTAGTTAGTGGTTGAGCAAGGATTTGAACCCAGGTCCCATGATTTCAAGTTCAGCATTCTGAGTTGGGTACTTTTTCCCACTGAATCTTTCTCCTAGAATGTGACCTGCTAAGGAGTAGAGACTATGTAATTTTTTAGCATTGTATGGCCAGTATCTAGCAATAGTAGGTGTTTAATAAATGTTTCCTGAATTGAATTCCTTGCTTACATGTTCTGCTTTGTGTTTACTTTCCATGTTTAAAACTCATACACACAAATATTCATCTATTCTGGCCAATTCCTATTTTCAGAGCATGATTCCACACTGTCCCTCCTATAATTGTGGACAAACTTCTGAACAGTTAACTCTCTTCACTTCATATTTCCTCTTCTAAGCTCTTGCTTTTTTTGGGAAATTCTCCATAGGCAGATGGACCATCATATGATATCTCTGAAGTCCAAGGGTGGTTAATGCCTTTCGTTATTCCAAATCTGATGGATCTAATTCCTTGTAGAATCTTTGGGGATCCAATATAGCCAACCTGTGTCTATCCTGCAACTGATTCTATATGAGCTCAAATGTTCAGCCAAGGAGACGAGGTCACTGTCTATCACTTGCCCAATCATGCTTTGGGTGTTTCACAATTATATGTACCAACAAAACCTCTTGAGGCTTTAAGACACCCCCTTCCCCTTTGCAACACCCCCATAGCACCTTGCTTGATTTAAAAGGCACCTGAGTAATTTGCTAGAACTTTGGAAAACTCTTAAAACAATGAGACCTTGAATTCAACATACCTTAGGTAAAAACTACTATGTATAAGAGACTTCTCTAGCAAGATAAGAAGTAAATAGTCCCTGCCCTCAAGAAGCTTATGTTCTACTGAGAGGACATTGCATATATGGAGGTAAGGAAATACAAAAGATATATAAAGTGAAGAAAGAGTAATTTCAGTGGATAGAGCATGGACAGGATCAGGAAAGGCTCCTTTTAAGAGGGAGCACTGGAGCTGAGCCATGATGGGAGCTCTGGATCCCAAGAGGGAGAGCCCTCCACACATGGAAAGATAAAAAGTCTGGACATGCAATATTCTGTACTTGGAATATCCCACTTGGTTGAATCTTGGAGTCCATAAAAGGAATGATGAGAAATCAATCTGGAAAGATGGGCTGAAGTCAAGCATAAAATAACAACAAAATGTAGCATAATATAATACAGCCATACTATAGCAGTATATTTATACATGTATGTGTATGTGTACATGTTGATATCATACCATACCATGAGATACTATGTTATGGTATAGAAAGCTCCTCCCAGTCGCCCCTGCTCCTAGTGCCCTCCTTCTGAGATTACCTCCCGCTTCTACTATACAGACATGTATACACATGTTTATATTATACTATGCCATGCTATGCTATGTTATGCTATGTTATGGGGATAGCTGATGGCTCGGGGGATAGAGCGCTAGGCCTGGAGTCAGGAAGACCTGAATTCAAATCCAGCCTCAGATCCTTACTAGTTGTGTGACCCTGAACAAGTCACTTAACCTCTGTTTGCCTTAATCCACTGGAGAAGGAAATGGCAAACCACTCCAGTATCTTTGCCATGGACAGTATTGATGTGGTACGGTCCACAGGGTCAGCCAGTATTGGACACGACTGAACAACAAAATACTATGTTACAGTAATATATGGTATGTTATATAAGTACATACTGTACTATGTTCTGGAAACCATCTGGTATTATTATAACATAATATAGTATAGTATAAATGTGTATACATGTATGTATAGTGGAATTGGAAGGCAACCTCAAAAGGAGGGCAGTAGCAGCAGGGGCACCTGCAAGTGGCTTTCTTTAGAAGGTAAGATTTACACTGAGTCTTGACCGAAATCAAGGCAGCCAGGAGATGGTGGTGAGGATGAACAGCATTCTGGGGATGGGGACCAACAAGTGAATAGGCACAATCTGTAGATGGAGGGATGTGTATGAGGAACACCAGGGAGCAGACGTGCATCTATGCCAACATAGGGTGTTTCCTCGCTGGGAGCTCCATATGCCAACGGAAATGCAGGTCTAAGTTTAAAAAAAAATGATCTGGTTGACATGCCATGATCTCCTCCGATCTTGGACACTGAGCAGCACTGGTCTAGGTTAGTACTTGGATGGGAGAATGCCTGGGAATACTGGGTACAATAGTCTTTTTTTCCCCTTTTTTGGTGAGACCATAGGGGGTTAAGCGACTCGTCCAGGGTCACACAGCTAGTAAGTGTCAAGTGTGTGAGGCCAGATTTGTTTTTTTTTTTGGCTAAGCAATGGGGTTAAGTGACTTGCCCAGGGTCACACAACTAATAAGTGTTATGTATCTGAGGCTGGATTTGAACTCAGGTCCTCCTGACTCCAAGGCCAGAGCTCTATCCACTGTGCCACCTAGCTGCCCCTACCATAGTCTTTCTTTTTTTAAAAAGTAGCATGGAATAGAGGGTTGAGAGCTGGAATCCATCAGGAAGGTTTTGGGCTCAAGTTACAGCCCAGGTAGCCACTCCCTACAGCTCTAAGTGACAAAGCAGGTGCTGACCTTCATTGACCTTGTAAGGGAAAGTTCCCTACACCAGTGAAATCACAAGTTTGGTCCTAAAGACCCCAAAGACTTGATCTGTAGGTGCAGACCTGGAAGAGCCTTATCCAGAGCACCTCCTCAGTACTGATGGGTGGGTGGGTGGGGGTGGCAGGTCCAACACCACATTGTAAAGGACCAGCTGTGACTTGGGGTCTGGAGGTGATTATGAAACAGCTGGATTGAAGTCCTGCCACCAGAACCTCACTGAACTCATTTCCCCCTGTAATTTAGCCATTATCTTTGTGTGATAAAGAAAAGAATTAAAACATTATTAAAGAAAGACTCTGAAGGAAAAAAAAGAAAGTAAAATGACTGGGATGGAAGAAGGAGATAGTGAAAATGAGGAGGAGTGTGGGATAATGAAGAACCAGGAAACCAAAGAGTCACAATCTGTTGGAAAAGAAGGAGACTTGAGGCAACACAACCGAATAAATAAACCCCTGCTTGATGCTGGGGATGGGCAGAGTAACCAGAGAACTTTCTTTCTACCTTCTTGACATATGTAACTGACCCCAAATGGACACTGACCCCGAGTAACCCACTCTCTCTCTCCTCTGTGCCCAGCTGTAAAGCTTTATTTACCTTCTGTATTTTATTCCACACCCGTTCTTTACCATTCCTTCTTCCTTCAAGGGTGTCCATAGCATCTGACATTAGCGATTGCAGCTGTGGAGGCAAGATAAAGATGATCAGGGTGGGATTCACACAGAAATAACTTCTCTAAACGCACAGATTAAAACCTAATTAAAAAATCATTTGTACGCTGATGATTTTATTACTCAGCCGTCAGACGGGCAAACGTAGTCACCTCATATCTCTGCCTCAGCCGCTGCCGAGCACTATTATTATGGGTACAAAATATTGAATGCTGAGAAAATTCCCCTAGAACATCCGTCCTCAACACATAGGCTTTAATGCAAGAAGTGTGGATGTTTTGTAAAAACAGATTTGGGCTGTAAAGAACAGTGGCTGTACCAAATTCTCTTGGGGAATGCTCTGCAGTATATGGATGATTTTTTAGTATTTTCTCCCGAGGCTAATGTATCATAATTCTCGGCATCATGTAAAAGCTCACTAGAGGAAAACGGCAAAATTGAGATGTTTTTATTGCCTCTCAAAGGATGGAGCTCATTTAAGTTCTTTCCCTGGCTTTTTGTTTCAAAAGAATAAGATCTCTCTTTTTTAAGACACCGCTAACAATCAGATGAGGCAAAAACTCTCTAATTTTCCAAGACCAAGGCTAATCAAATTCCAGGTTTAAACCATCACATGTGGCTGCAAAGCAATGTAGTAAAAAGGAATAATTTTGCATGGTCAAGCACAGACACAGGGTCCCAGCAAGGGACAGCTCACTTCCCGATGATGCTGGAGCCTAGAAGCCTAGGCTGATCATTTTGAGTGTGGGTACCAGGGAGATTGGCCAGCCAACCAGCAGCCACTAGATGGTTACTATCTGTGTAACCCTGGGGAATGGATGGAGGCTCCCAGGAGGAGTTTCTTAAGAATGTATATTTGAAAAAAAAAAGTCTTTCATAATGACCAGGCACACTTGCAGCCTGAAAGACTCTGCATTCAGAGGAAACAAAAGCAGAATACTCCCATGGGAAAGAGTCAAGGTGATTGGAAACCCACAGCATGGACCCTGGGAGCAATAAGGAGCATCAGTGACTGATGAGGTTGAGGCAGTGCTCAAACTAGTATACCCAAGCCCAGGGGCTCCAAGATCCCCAGCGGCCTGTCTTGAGATGTCACAGAGGACCCTGAAGATTCAGCCCTCTGAACCTCCAAGATCCGGAGGGGAGGGGCTGAAACCTATTCCCAATCCCTTGGTATGTACATATTCCAGGAATGAAGCTTAGTGCTGAAACCAAAGTGGAGACCAAATCAGGCTACCCACTCCATTCAAGAGGAAAGAGCCTGGCCCTGTTACAAAGCCCCTATTCAGGTACTAAGGCTGGACAGAGGAGTAAACAGGAGATATCAATCCCTATAAAGAATTATTATAGATTCAGAAATACCCCAAAATCCAACCTTGAAGAAGAGAGTAACCTCACAATAACTTTAAGTAGAGAATCAAATTAAAATGGATTTTCCAGAAAGGCTTTAATAATAACTAACATTTTTATAGCACCTACTACGTGCAGGTACTGTGCTAAGTACTTTATTACCTCATTTAATCATTACAACAACTCTGGGAGGTAAATGCTATTATTACCCCCATTTTAAAGATGAGGAAACTGAGACAGACAGAGGTGAGGTGACTTTACTGGGGTCTCACAACTAGTAAATGTCTGAGGCTGGATTCAAACTCGGGTCTTACTGACCATAGGCTCAATACTCTACCCACTGCTCCATGCAGATGCCTTTGCAAAAATGAATTAAGTGATACTAAATAAAATGAAGACTCTGAAATCGAGACAAGTCAATAAGCATTTACTAAGTTTCTTAGAACATTAGGCAATGTTCTAAGCAATGGAGATACAAAGAAAAGCAGAAACATAGTCTCTGCCTTCAATGAACTTGCAGTCTAATGGTGTAGACAACTACGAACAAATAAGATATGTACAAGATAAATTGGAGATAATCATTAGCATGAAGGAGAATAAGTAACTTGGAACAGAAAATTGCAAACCTTACCCAAATAACAGATGCCCTAAAATCCACAATAGCCAGAACAGAAATTAATGACTCCATGAGTCAATAAGAAATATTAGAACAAAATCGAAGTATTAAATGAAATAGAGGAAAATATAAAATATCTGATATAAAAAACAACTGATCTGTAAAAACAGGTCAAGGAAAGAGAAGTTTTAAAAGGCATTGAATTCCTTGAAAATCATGATTAAAAAAAGCCTGAGCACTACAGTTGAAGAATTCATAAATGAAAACGTCTCAGATCTATTCAATCCAGAGGGCAAACTGAAAAGAGGAATTATCACTTCCTGAAAAGTCACACAAGCAAAGTCTCATGAATGTCATTGACAAAATCTAGTGTTTTCTCATCAAAGAAAATATACTGCCAGCAGTCAGAAAGAAAGAGTTCAGGTACCAAAGAACCATAGTCCAGATCATACAAGACTTGGTAGCTTCTATTACAAATGAGAAGAGATCTTGGAAGATAGTATTCTAAAAAGCAAAACAAATAGTTTTACAATCAACAACTCACCCTGTGCAAAGTTGAGTATAATCTGAGAAAGGAAAAAGGAGCCTTTAATAGCATAGAGGATTTTTAAACATTCTAGATAAAAAACCAGAGCTAGGCTTTGAAATACAACCAAAAGAGTCAAGAGAAACCTAGAAAGATAAATTTGTATGAGTAATTGGATGGAGTTATATGATGATGAAGTGCTAATAATATAACGAAGGAGAAGAAATGCGTCTGCAGTATTGGTTCTGTTCCGATAGTTTTAAGGTGGGAATGAAACAAGATAGTACAAGATGTATATTAATATGGAAATGAAGAAGAAGGCACAGTTATTTCTCAAAATTTAGCTGTGCAAGAAGAGTGTACAAATATGGAAAAAGGAGTGGGGACAATCATCAAGTAATTTTCACTTTTATCTGACTGACAAAAGTGGGTTGAACAAACTCATGCATAAACTTACACACAAAGAATTTGGTGTAGAAAAATGTAAAACTCAAAAAGTATGCTAAGAAGGAGAGAGGGAGTCAAGAGGGAGAATAATACTGGGGAAGGAATAGTCACAAACAAAACAAACTTTGTCTCTGGAGGCTGGGGATTAAACAAGGGAAAAAGTAAAGTAAGAAAAGGAAAATTGAAGAGGGGGTATTCATCAATTAATGAATGACCAAACAAGCTATTGTATGCCAAGCAAATGAATATTGTTGGGAGGGGATTTGGGGACTTTATCCCAGAAGAGGGATTTATCTGGCAGTGATGTCACCTTTGACATGAAATTGGTAGGACCAATTCTATATAGAAATTAAATTATGCTAAACTATGAGCCTAATCCCTCACAGAGACTGGGTATACTATAGGTTGGATTATGTCCTAAAGTTTTGAGGACATATATTGAATATTGGTACTTTTCTTCTTAATATATATTTGAAGCAAATATCCATTTATAAAATTCATTTAGTGTTAAATGGTTAAATTGAACTGGGATCCCAATAACTGGTCCCCTAACAAATTGGAGAGAGCATAGCCAATGGAGACCTGAGCATATGGCAGTAGAGAAAAATTCCTTCCTCCCAAACCCTCAGGATATCTGGGAACCCTGATGGGATTATGAGGCCTGCTTGGTCCTGAGAGAGAAGGACCATAACTCCTATGTTATATAAATGTTTAGTGTTGTCCAAAGAAAAGTCATTTTCATAGAAGACATTTCTTACTCTGGGAACTTCCAAACACGCATCAAAAATTTTTTGGAGCTTAAAAAATGCAAAAAAAAATGAGCACTTCCATATAAATAAAAAAGAACATATATAACATTGTGTATGGAACTGTATATGGAACAGCTTGTTTTTAAAAATAATTTTATTATACTATATATACATATGAATATATCATAGAAATTTAGCAATGTGATTTAAAAATACAAATGATATTCATTTTAAATATTGTATAGTAAACATATTATTTTTTTCAATAAATATCCTAGCTTACTTTTTAAAAAAAAGTATTTAAAACACATTTATTTCAAAGTCCTGCTTGTTAATACTTCTTCCCTTGACTATGCATTTCAAAATTTTGATTCAATTCTAGTCTTTTCTCCTCCTTCAATTCTATACTCAGCCCACTTTTTCACTGTGCCCCAACAGCTTGGAACCTCTGAAATAAAATTTACCCCATATATGGGCATTTAGTTGTAAAAGATAAAGAGCTGGCCTCGAATCCAGGAAGACCTGGATTCCAATCCCATCTATGACACATACTAGATGTGTGACCCTGGTCAAGGCATTTGATTTCTCAGGACTCTAGCCAACTCTCTGAGATTCTAACTTGTAGAGAAAGTGCTGACATGAATTTTTAAAAGGAAATTTCTGGAGTTCTCTACACCAATGAAATTGTAGATCCTGTCCTTCATCTATAAAATGAAAGAGTTAGATTTGATAATGTCTAATGTTCTTTTCAGATCTAGACCCATAATCTGATTCTTCTCTATTCCTTCAGCGGTTCAGGCAAACCATTGTACTCTCTACCGTGGAACATGTTACCCCTGTTCTCCCACTCCCTGACTTAAGAGGCATCATTACATGATGGAAAGAGTGCCTGGAAGTCAAGAGAGAACTGAGTTCAAATCCTGTCTTTTTTACTTACTACCTTTGTGACCTTGGGAAAGCCTGGACCTTAGTTCTGCTATCTATAAAATGAGGGGTTTAAATTGGTGGATTCTAAGTTTCCTCTTAGCTCTAAATATATGAGCTCGTGAATCTCTCTGGGCCTCAGTTTCCTCATATGAAAAATTAAGGGGTTAGATTAAATGACTTCTAAGGTCCCTTCAGCCTCTAAATCCATGATCCCATATGATCTGTGCTAGGCACTCAGGGGTACAAAGACAAAAAAAAATGAAATAATTCTTGTCCTCAAAGAGCTCATGTTCCACTGAATATCTGAGGATGAACGGCTAAGCTGTCCTAGGACTATATATGAGCACTCTTTCTTCCCAGTAACCATCCCTCCCCTTGGCTTAGGGCAACGAGAACTCTAAGCAAACATTAAAAGAGATCCTCACCAACTCAGCATCCTGCTGACTGATGTCTTGGAGATAGGGGATGGTGGCCAGGTCAGCCATTGCTTGGTTAATCACTTGGGACTGCTCCTTGACTCTCTGCAGTCTGCTGAGGAGGCTGGCGTACTGCAGCTTCTCAATCACACCAGGGCATGCCCGGAAACTCCCCTAGCCTCTCGGCAAAAGCAGAGGTTTTAGAACAGAAGTCAAGCACATAGACCTTCCCCCTAGGAAACAAGCCTGGGTTGATCACCCAGGGTTTACAGCCTAGGCAGAACACTAACCCAGACAAAGGGACTTAGGAGAAATGTGTCCACAATCACCTCTTTAAAAACTTCTTTTGTATCTTTTCTGATCCAGAGAAAGGAGAAACCTCTAAGAACAGATGGAGAATAGATTGTTATATCTTGTTTTTTTTTATGTAATAGATATGCAAATACTGAAATTAATCTGCAATCTCATCGATGTAAGTATATCCTCCAGTAATGCATATCAAGTCTCTGTTGTAACTTCCCATCCCACAGGAAGGTCTATGTCCACTAGGTTTTTGTGAATCTCATCTTGCTTGCCCTGTGGACAGACATATTATTATGGTGGCAGCATGGTGTGGTGGGGTCAATACTGAATTGGGTGCCTGAAGACAGGGGTCAAATCCAGGGTCTGTCACATGTGTGACCTTGGGCAAACCACTGAAGTTAGCTAGTCAGTCAATCAGTCAACAAGGATTTATGAAGCACCTACTCTGTGTCAGGCACTGTGCTGTGCGCTGGGGATATGAAGAAAGGCAAAAGACAGTCCCTGCTCTCAAGAATCTCACAGTCTAATGGGGAGACAATGTGCAAAAAGCTAGGATACAGACAAGATATGTACAAGATAAGTTGGGGATAATCTTGGAGGGAAGGCACTAAGATTGAGGAGGACTGTGAAAGGCTTCCTGCAAGAAATGGGACTTGAAGGAAGCCAGGGAATCCAGGAGGTGGAGGTGAGGAGGAAGACATTTCCAGACATGGGGGATAGGTGGGGAAAATGCCCAGTCAGGAGATAGAGTATCTTGAGCAAGGAACAGCAAGGAGTCCAATGTCACTGGATGGCAGTGCATGTTCAGGGGGGTGGTGTAAGGTAAGAAGGTTGGAAAGGTAAGAAGGGTACACTTTATGGGGGGCTTTAAAAGCCAAATAGGGGATTTTATATTGGATCCCAGAGGCAATAGGGAGTCAATGGAGGTGACTAGCTAGGAGGGTGACACTGTCAGATGTACACTATTTTTTTTAGGTTTTCAACATTCATTTTTGTAAGATTTTGAGTTCCATATTTTTCACCCTCCCTCCTTCCTCTTCCCTCCCCAAGACAGCAAGCTAGAGGTCATACAAGTGCCATCACGTTAAACATGTTTCCACATTAGTCATGTTATGAAAGAAGAATCATAACAAAAGGGGAAAACCATGAGAAAGAAAAAACAAACAACTGCCCCCTCCCAAAAAAAAGTGAAAATAGTATGCTTCGATCTGCATTCAGACCCCATAGTTCTTTCTCTGGATGTGGTTAACATTTTCCATCATGAGTCTTTTGGAATTATCTTGGATCATTGTATTGCTGAGAAGAGCTAAATCTACCATAGCTGATCATCACAAAATGTTGCTATTACTGTGTACAATGTTCTCCTGGTTCTGCTCACTTCACTCAGCATTAGTTCATGTAAGTCTTTCCATATTTTCCTGAAACTCACCTGTTCATCATTTCTTAGAGCACAATAGTATTCCATTACATTTATATACCACAACTTGTTCAGCCATTCCCCAATTGACGGACATCCCCTCAATTTCCAAGTCTTTGCCACCACAAAAAGAGCTTATACATACATACATATATATATGTATATGTATATGTATATGTATATCAGCTTACCCAGGGTCATACAGTTAGTAAGTGTCAAGTGTCTGAGGCCAGGTCTGAACTCAGGTCCTCCTGACTCTAGAGCTGGTGCTCTATCCACTGCACCACCTAACTGCCCCCTGCTATAAGTATTTTTGTACATGTGGGTCCTCCCCCACCTCTTTTTCAAATGTGCACTGTTTTGGAAGGTCTGTTTGACATCTGAGTCCAAGATGGCCTGGAGTGGAGAGAGGAGACCAAGGCAGGGAGACCATCCAGTAGGCTATTGCAGTAGTCTAGGTATGAGACGATGAGGGCCTCCACCAAGATGGTGGTAGTGTCAGAGGAGAGAAAAGAGTGTTTATGAGAGATATTATGGAGATTATAATGAGAGGGCTTGGTAACTGATCGGATAAAGAGAGTCAGTGAGAGAAAGTGGGGAGTTGAGGATGATACCTAGGTATTAAGCCTGGGTGACATGAAAGATGGCAGTACTCTCAATAGTAGGAAGAGGGGAGGGTTTTGGGGAAATATAATGAGTTTAGTTTTGGACATGCTGAATTTAAGACGTTTATGAGACATCAAGCTTGAGATGTCCAGTAGGCAGTTGGAGATGCGAGACTGGAACTCAGCAGAGGGGTTAGGGCTGGACAAATAGATCTGTGAATCATTTGCATAGAGATTAGAGTTAAATACATGGAAGCTGATGAGCTTGCCAAGTGAAACAGTATAGAGGGAGAAAAGAAGAGGATGCAGAACAGAGCCTTTGGGGATCCCCATGGTTAATGAGTGTGACCTGGATAAAAATCGAACAAAGGATACTAAGAGGGAGTAGTCAGACAGGTGGGGGGCAAGCCAGGAGAGAACAATGTCAGAAAAAGGTAGAAGAGAGTGAGTAGAAAGGAAGTAGAAGAGATGACCTTCACAAGGAGTTTAGCCACAAAGGGAGAAGAGATACGGTGACGGGTGGTTCAAGTGAGGGTTTTATGAGGATGGGGAAACATGGGTGTGTTGATAAGACATGGGTGTGTTTCTAGGCAGAAGGGAAATAGCTGGTAGACAGGGAGAGACTGAAGATTAATGAGAGAGTGGGGGCCACAGAGGGTGACAGCCTTCTGGAACAGATGAGCTGAATAGGATCATTTGTGCATGTAGAAAGGTTTGCTTTGGCAAGGAGAAGGACCACTTTATGGGACAGGAGGAGAAGGTGGTGGGATATCTGAGAGATATGAGATGAGAAAGGGAGATTCAGAGGAAGCTCTTGCCGATGGTTGAAAAAATTTTTTCAGTGAAATATGAAGCAAGTTTCTTAGGTGGGATAGCAGAGAATCAGATAAGGCTTAAGGAGCAAAGGAAAAGTTTAGAAAACTCTCTGTAGTGAATATGATAGGGAGTCAATTAGACACATGTAAAAGAATTCCATTGTGCCCAGTTGAAATTATGTAACATTAATTTATAGAGGACCAAGTCAGGACAGTTTTGTGATTTTTTTCTATCTTCATTCAACAGTATGTGAATAGGAACAGAGGAATAATCCAAGGTTAAGGTTTGGCAGGGCAAGATTTTTAATAGGATAAAGGGACAAGGGACTCTAAAGGAGAGGAAAGTAAACTAGTTCACCTAGGGATGAAGATGGAGAAGGGAGGAAAGTGTAGCCAGTACAAGGAGGATAGCCTAGGAAAGACTTGAGGGGTTGAAAGATTGGAGGTCATGGTAAAGAAAAAGAACAGGTTTTGGGGTTGCAAGGTAAAGAGAGAGAATGCAACAGATTGCAACCAGAAAAAGGAATTCCAGAGTACATGAACATGGAAGTGGTACAATTTTGGGTGAAGACAAGATCAAGAGTGTGACCATCTCTGATTGTTGCTGAAGTAGGGTGCAGAGGATCACGGGAAATAGGTAAGGTGAGGAAATATGAAGTTATGGGATGGGGGACCAAGGTCAAAGGAAATGGTAAATCAACAAGCATGCATCAAGTGCTCAGAGTAAGTTCACGTTGGTTAATTATGGAAAGATCCTTGAAGAGAGGAAATTCAGGGATGTTAACTGAAGGAAGTGATGGAGTGTCGGTGAGTCAACAAGCATTTTTTTTTTCAGTGCTTACTTTGTGCCAGGCACTGTGCTACACACAGGGCATACAAAGAAAAGTAAAATCATAACACTCACCTCAAGGAGTTTATATGCTAATGGGGGAGATACAGGCAAATCACACACAAGATAAATATGGTGTAAATGGAAGGGACTCTCGGAAGGAAAGGTACCAGTTCAGTGGGTGGGGGTGGGGGGAAGAGAGATGGGAACCAGGAATTTCCTTGTGTAAAATATGAAAAGATTGGGGTTAGTCCTGTCAAAGTATTTTGGAGGCACCCTGTTTCCCAGAGCTAAGGCCCAGCAAGCAGGCTGTGCCCTCAGCTTGGTATAACAACAATTCTTTGAGAGCTGTATGATCTCACCCTCTGGCAAAGTGTACTCCTTTGACCAAGCACCAGGTGTGTGCTGCCCCCTATTTCCCAGGGGTCCGTGAGAGTCATCCATCACCTTGCTTCACTTGCTCACAATCCCTGTTCCTTCTAACAGCTAAGTGAACTGAACCAGGTACTGTACCCCACTGTGAGACAATCACCCTGTGGACTGTTCCCACAGGACCCAGGCATGTCTACGTTGTCCACGCATGAGCCTGTCATGGGAAACCTCTACTCAAGACCTAAGAATTTTACATTATAGTCCAGCCCGATTATGTATATAAACATTGCTTGTGCCACAACATGTGAAGTCCTCCTTCTTCCTTGCTTTCAAGTAATTTTCCTCACTCTGAAATAAATTATACAACTGCTGTGTGTCCTGACACACCTGCCTCTCATCTGCTCTGTTTGGCTCTGGTCATTCCCAGGTTAGAGACCAGTTCAGTCTGGACTGCATTCAGAATTCTGTCGACAAAAACTGCTGGGAAAACTGAAAAATAGCATGCCAGAAGCTAGGCATAGACCAACATGTCACACCCTATACCAAGATAAGATCAAAATGGGTATATGATTTAGACATAAGGGATGATACCATAAGCAAATTAAGAGAGCAAGGAGTAGTTTACCTGTCAGATCTATGGAGAAGGGAAGAATTTATGATCAAACAAGAGATGGAGAACATTATGAAATGCAAAATGGAGGACTTTGAGTACATTAAATTAAAGTTTTTGCACAAGCAAAACCAGTGCAACCAAGATTAGAAAGAAAACAGAAAGCTGGGAAACAATTTTTACAGCTAGTGTTTCTGATAAAGGCCTTATTTCTAAAATATAT